GAGAGGGAACTGCAGGAGAAAAGTCTGAAGCTGGCAGAGGCTGGTTCTGAGGTTTAAGGAAAGAAGCCGTCTCTACAACACAGAAGTCCAAGGTGAAGCAGAAATGCTGATGCAGAGGCCACAGCGAATGAGCCAGAAGATCCTGCTAAGATAATTCCAGAAGGTGGCCACATTCAACAACAGATTTTCAACGTAGACAAAACAGCCTTCTATTTGAAGAAGATGCCATCTAGGACTTTCATAACTAGAGAAAAGAAGCCAATGGCTGGCTTCAAAGCTTCAAAGAACCTGCTGACTCTCTCGTGAGGAGCTAATGCAGCTGGTGAGTGTAAGTGGAAGCCAGTGCTCATTTGCCATTCTGAAAATCCCAGGGCCCTGAAGAATTATGCTAAATCTCTTCTGCCTGTGCTCTATAAATGGAACAACAAAGCCTCGATTATAGCACATCTGTTGACAACATGGTTTACAGAATATTTTAAGCCCACCCTTGAGACCTACTACTCAAAAAAGAAAAGATTCCTTTCAAAATATTACACTGCTCATGGACAATGTACCTGGGCAGCTCAGGGTTGTGATGGGGAGGCTCAATAAGATGAACGTTGTTTTCGTTCATGCTAACCCAGTGTCTACTCTGCAGCCCATGGATCAAAGAGTAATTCCAATATTCAAGTGTGAGTATTTAAGAACTACATTTCCTAAGGTTATTGCTGCCATAGATAGGGATTCCTCTGATGAATCAGCAAAATAAACTGAAAGCTTCTGAAAAGAATTCACCTTTGTAGATGCCACTAAGACCATTCATTTGTGGTTCATGGGAAGAGGTCATACTCTCAGCATTAACAGGAATTTGGAAGAAGTGCATTGCAGCCCTCTCAGGTGACTTTGAGAGGTTCAAGACTTTGTTGGAGGAAGTAACTGCAGACGTGGTGGAAATAGCAAGAGAATGAGAAGTACAAGTGGGGCCTCAAGGTGTGTCTGAGTTGCTGGTCTCATGATCAAACCTGAATGATGAGTTTCTTAGGGATGAGCAAAATCAGTGGCTTCTTGAGATGGACCCTCCTCACGGGGAAGATGCTGTTGAGACTGTTGAAATGACAATGAAGGACTGAGAATACTACATGAACTTAGCTGAAGAAACAGCAGCAGGGTCTGAGAAGATCGACTCCAATACTGAAAGAGGTTCCACTGTGGGTAAAATGCCATCAAACAGCACCGCATGCCACAGAGAGCACAGCCATGAAAGAAAGGGTCATTTGATGTGATGACCTTCACAAATCACTGCCCTGGTCAGTCGCACCACCAACATCAAGGCAAGACCCTCCACCAGCAAAACGACTATGACTCACTGAGGGCCCAGACGATGGTTTGCATTTTTTAACAATAAAGTATTTTTTAATTAAGGCATTTACATTGGTTTGATACATGATGTTATTGTATGCTTAATAGACTACAGTATAGTGTGAATATAACTATTACATGCACTGGGAAACCAAAAAATTTGTGTGACTTGCTTTATTGTAATGTGAGCTTTATTATGGAGATCTGGAACTAAACCCACTATATCTCCAGGTCACGCCTGTGTTATCTCTCACAACGCAGAGCACTGACCACTATACGATCACCGCACACTAGAAGCCCGCGAGCCCTGTGTCATCTTTCAGATCAGCACCACGATCGGAAGAAAACTCCCAGTCCCTGGCCTCTTCCTAGAAAGGGAAATGGTTAGAATGTGCATCTAATGTTCTGGGATTTGGGGGTGCTGCCCAGGTGACTGGATTCTGTCTTACCTATCTCAGAGCTCTGATAGAAGCCAGGACACTCTAGGTTCCTGGGGGACACCGAGGACCAAAGTGAGCTGGGCAGCCTCCCTCTGCTCCAGAGGACCCATGCACAGAGACAGAGACCAACACAGCTTGGCAACCTCTCCATCGTGCGGCAAGAAGAGAGTGGAGCCATGTCAAACATTCCTGCTTTGGGAGGAGCTACCCAAGGGAATGGTTTGTGTCTTGCCCGATTCAGAGTGCTGATGGGATGCAGCATACCTTAGAAATTTGGGGACCACTGAGAATAAAAGAGACCTGAGTGGCTCCCAATAGCTCCAGAAATCTGCAGTACTCCTGACAGACACCAGAGGTAGCAAGAGATTCAAGCTCCAGAAAAAAAGAAACTGGCCAATCCATCTAATTTGCATGCCCAAGTTCAGAGAAGATAATCCACAGCAAAGGTTTGAGAGGCATCTCAAGCTGGGATGGTTGGTGAACGTCTCTCCCCATACATAAGTCGGTGTCAAAAGACTGAGGGAGGTGGCCGTTTTTTCACACGGATCCATCCCAACACAGAGTTACAAGGCACACAAAGGAACAGGGAAGCATGGCTCAATCAAAGAAAGAGAATAAATCTCCAGAAACAACGTTATAATAATATATGTATTAATGAAGTTTTAAAGGATGATTAAATGGGGAGATAAACTCGGAAAACACTTTGAAATTTATGAGAACCATAATGAATGAAATGTAATTCCAATATTTGATTACTGGCTCACTTGCCTTCCTCCCTATTTCAATGCCGCTCTGGGTCCTTGAAGCCATGACATTACAAAGATTTCTTTTATCAGAAGAAATTCTATTCAAAGAGAAAAAAGTAATTTATTAGAGCCATCGGGTTATAAAGGTGAGTCATATGACAACAAATAAGAGGCAACCTCTTCATTGAAAAATACTGAACGAGCACAAAAATACTTAAAATTTTTAAAAAGCAAAAATACTCAACCGGCCGTGAATATTAATAAAGCTAAAGTGGATTGCCTATGTGCAGAGGAAGGATAAAATTAGGTCATATATTGAGCTCTGTTTGTTGCCATTCCAAAAACAATGTAGCAAAAATGATCCGCCTCCGCCTCCAGATTGTCTCCACCTGCCATGACCTTCAATTCATTTTCATAATTCTCAGTACACCTGGGTGGTGCTGAACAGTGGGACCATTTACAAATTCACACAGAGTTTCCTCCAGCATCGTCCTAATTCCAGGCTTTTTTCGCCTGTCCAAGACCAAACACACCTCACTTCAGATGGTAAGAATCAGATGCTTCAACCCCAAAAAAGGGGATGAGGTGGAGGTAGGGGATAAAAAGAAGACGAAAGCGAACAAACTCAATGCTTTTCATGCGCTTAAATGCTTTACTTGGATGATCTCTTCATGGCAACCCTATTTGATAGACGTTCTTTCCTTAGTCCAGATAAATCATTTATTTTTTTAAAGATTTTATTTATTTAGTTTTAGACCAAGGGAAGGGAGAGAGAGAAACATCAGTGTGAGAGGAAAACATTGATCGGTTGCCTTGTTTGCGCCCCATCCTGGACCAGACCTTTGACCCAGACATGGTCCTGACCAGGAATCGAACCAGCGGCCTTTTGCTTTGCAGACAATGTCCAACCAGCTGAGCCACAACTGGCCAGCGCCCAGACAGATCTTTTAAAGCTTAAGGAACAAAATTGCTTGTTTAAGATGGCACTTCTAGAAAAGTACTCAAGTGGAGTTTAAAATACATCTACCTGATCCCAACATGTAGGCTTTACCTCTCCTCCTTGCTGCCTCCAAGACAACCTGTAGCTCTAAAACCCAGAGATTTGTCATGCCTCTTAGGAGTATGAGGCACAAAGAGAGTGAAATAATAGCGATCTCATGTAGGAACAAGCAATGAGATGGATGGGACAATGATATTAGTTGTCAGGTTCACTGTCACTACCGAAAATGTTATCTATCATCTAAAAATAGTACAGAATTCAGTACATAAGTCTATGAAGACCCTTTTCAAAATTTAAGTCAAATAAGTGAGACGCAGAAGTATCTGAACGTAGTAGGAGCTAAACGAGGGTCAGAGAATATTAGCTGAGCCCCATCTAATTTTCAATAAAACTTGAACTTGGGTATTCTTAAATGCAGAGGGCTCTGAAGGGCAGAGGTAGAAGTTGGGAGTTAATGGCAAGAGTAAATAAAAGAGGAAAGGTCTTAGAGCAAAAAGCTAGATTAAAAGCAATAATGATTTCTTCCCTCAACCTATTATTTCAACTCATCTGAATGATGTAAAACCAACTATAAGGTGAGGAAGAATGTTTTCAACAACCAGGCAGATCTCTTGTTACAAAAAAGTTCTAGGGCTTTCTTCCCCACCAGGCTTGACTTACGTTTTACGCAAAAATCTACAACAAAAATATAGCTATCTCCAAGGAGGCTAACTGAAATATTTAAGTCATTTTGGGATTAAATTTTAAAACAAAAGTGTTTTTCCATAAGGATACTAACCTGTTATTATCAAATAAATTAAAACTAAGTTAGTTTTTATTAAAAAACTCTGGGTTTTTTTGTGCAGTAATAAATCGCTTTTCGTTGGGGTCTGGAGAAGCAACGACTAATTACCCTCCTAGACACCTAGCAAAGGCAGTTATCAGAGTTACCCTTTGGCTTGAGTGAAGATGGGCCATGAGGGGTGCCCATGGCAAGAGGGTCACACCACAGACTCATCTTTCATATCTCACCATGGTCAGTGCCACGATTAACCCACTTGGACTGCCTTATGTTTTCCTCTCCTTTGCCACAGCAAAGCATCTCAGTCAGCCAAGGTCATTTAACCAGCAGGGCCTCCAGCAAGCTCACCCCCATGTCCATGGGCGTCCACTGGCCGTTCCAAAGCAGGGCAGAGGGAAAGAAAGCAGGGAGACGCCGGGACAGAAATAGAGAAGAGCAAGAACAGAAGGGGATGAGGAGGAACAATGGGAAGGAGAGAGAAGGGAAAAGGAGAAGAAAAGACGGTGGAGGTGGGAAAACAGGAGAGAAGGGTAGAGAGGAGACAAACTGGGGGGAAGTAGCCTAGAAAGGAGGAAGGTGGACTAGGGCCCGCGCAGGCACATCAGGACAGCTTTGCCCCCTGAGCTGTCTCCTCCAGCGCTTTCTCTGTCTTCCCCCGCAGAGGAGACGGAAGAACACCTGGTCTGTGCCATTACCTGGATGAGCTCGTCCAGCTCAGTCGAATTGACGCAGGCGTGCTGGGAAATGAACGTCTGCTTCTGGATCACAATGGTGGTTCTCTGTGCACTCTCGTGAGGCTGCTCCAGCGCCTTGAACACGGTGGCCCCGATGATCAGATAGAGGACGACCACCAGGAAAATCGTCGAGACCGTCTTCCATTTCATAACATTAATGGTCGTGTCACTCTCCACTCGAGAAGCAAGCACTGTGGGTTTCGTGGAAAACGAGAGCCTCGGTTTGGAGTTCTGAGCGGCAGATTTTGGATCCAGCAAGTCAGGTGCCGCCACTGACAACAACAGAGAATGAGGGTTAGGTTGGAGGAGACAGAGGGGTAGTGGGTGGGCTTGTTTAAAGGGATCAGCCAAGGTTGTCGACTGAACCCTGTTCCCCTGGTGGAAGCTTGTATATATCGGTTCAAGGAAAAGGGGCGGGGTCGTAGCTCTCTGCTGCTATTGGGGATCCACATGGGAGGGCAGAAAACAACAGGAGGTGGACCAAGAAACTTAAAAAAAAATCAAAGCGTGACTGAGCTCTTCCTAACTAATTCCAAAATTTACATCTGTTTGCCATGCTAGGCAACAAAAACTCAGTGACTTCCTAAGAGTTGATACGAAAGTAGATATTTGAAAATTCATGAAGAAGAAGGCTCATCCATCGGTCTTCTTCTCAAGTACTTAACACTTTATACCACAAAGTCATTATAATAAAGGAACTGTATTATAAGTGAATTCGCGACTCAAGTCTTATTGCTCAAAGTAAAACGTTAGTAATTTTCTGGTAATACATGATAATAAATAAACCACAATAGCCCAATGATTTCTTTTTGCTTCCCCTCAACAGTGGGCTCATGATTAAGCATTCTCTAGACTTTGCTATTCGATCTCTGACATGTTTATAAAAATAAAAGCATTGCTACCCATTGTGGCAAAACCCTTGGTGCAGACAAGACGTGACCCGTTTCTTCCATTTCCACAGTGAACATTATCAAGAAAAAAAAATTAAAATCTTGCCTCACACCTTGGACCCTACATGCTCTGTACAAAGCTAATTGCTCCATTAGAGTGAGTCTATGTGTTCTCTTACAAATTCCCATATACTCTGAGGTGACTCTAAATTCATTTATTATTTATCTCAGCTGTTCAAAAATACCATTAATGGATTCCTTTTTAGCAAATACAAGAGGTACTAGATTTCCACTTGCTGAGGGGAAAATAAGTCATCTATTACAATACATTTGACTGGAACAGCAACATTAAACCAAAGGGGGTAATAGAATGGCCCAAAAACAAGGGATGTAAGCCACCGACACAGCTAGGATAATCAATTACATGTCCATGATTGTTATAAGTAAAATTAGTGTATATAATATGGGTTTAATAAAATGATAACCTAATCTAAAAGACACTTTTGGGTAAGTATGTGGACATCGCTATGGACTAGCACCCAAATACCCTACAGGAACCTGAAATTACTTGAGGAGAAGAAGGAAATCGAGTGTCAACTTTCACATGGCTACATACATTGCCCTCCTGACTACCAGAGTTAAATGTAGGACTACCACAGTTTGAGTTCATCAAATAAATCTTCAGTTACCCATCACAAAAAAAAAAAAAAGGCTTTGCAAACCAAGCTACGTGAAGCACCAGACCTAAGCAGTATCGTAAAATGATGGCAAATCTCTAAACGGTGCTTCTGAAGAGACGAAGTCAGAGCTCTGATGAGGGGACGGTACCTGTATGTGCGTGAATCCCCACGCACGCACATGACAGAGATGTCCTGTGGTCCCACCTCTTCACCGCAGGTATGTGCACGTTTCCCTCCAGACACAACACTCTCCTGCCCCAAATAAAGCCCTGAACCAGGAGACACCTTGAACAGCTAACGTCTGTGGAGGCAGCTTCACTCAAAATTAGCACTGCATCTGTGTTCAGTAGTTTAATTTTTTTAAGAAAAACTTTTTAAATAGAAAAGCTGATAATAGCTAAAAATCACTGTCATCTGCTGTCCAGCCACCCCAGCCAACCTCCGAGCCGCTTGATGAGTCTGATGAAAAATAAAGGTCATCATCCAAAATTAGGCTATTTTTGAAATACAAATAACAAAATCACACAGAAGCTCAATCTCTCTCTGAAGAAAGCTTCCCAAGCCTTTTTCTCCAGATCCCTGTTCTTCCTTACTTCTGGGTTTTCATATTAGTGGTTTCCAGTCTGTAGAACTGGAAAACCCCAAGCTGTTTACCTGGATGTTCCCCGAATCCCAGCTGTAAATCTCACCGCCAAACTGAGACCTTATCACTATGTGCTTTTGGAAAAGGAGGGACAGATATATTTTTTTAAAGATTGTGGGTGTCTTAAGCTAATACATTTCCTGATGGGGTTTAATTATGTTAAGCTATTCCCCTATTTTAAATGAACATTAGTACATATAATGCACGTTCACCAGACAGAATGGACACCGAAATAAAATAACAGCGTTTCTTCTCGGTCTAATATGGGGAACCCTCTGGGTTTCCGTCTCCAGTCGCTTTGGTGTAGGATCGGGAAGAGCAGCTCCTCAGCGCAGGGAATCCGAGCCCGGCCCCCTCCACACACACTGGGCACCATCACTGCCTTCCCGCTCTGCCCCGGCACCTCTTAGTCCAGGTCTCCCATCCTCACCCAGGTGTGTCTTCTTCGCTCCGCTCCCGGGTTCAATGGGCGACTCAGTACCAGGAGAAACGAGCTTTTTTCAGCACCACTGCCTGTCCCACCAGGCAACGGGCAACAAGTGTGACCAGGGTCACCACGCGTCCTGCCAGTCAGCTATCCCAAGGGTTGGCCTTCCTCCTCCTTCGGAAACTACCCCCAAGGTGTCTCAAACCCATTCCCAAGACAGACGCAAACCCCCCAGGTACCAGCGGGAAGGGAGGGGTTGGAGGGAGAAGCAGCCAGGAGAGGATCGAGGATGGGGGATAGGTTTGCCTCCAACCCCAGATTAAGACCCAGCACCTCGGACGGGAAACGAAGGTGGAAGACGTCCGCTCGCAGCCGACGGGGCATTTGCAGCCCACCCAGACTGGCCGGGGCGGGGAAGCGCGGGGCGGGAGACGGAAGGGGTCCCCGAGGTCTCACCTCCTGCTCTATAGCCGGGTCTCTCCCGCGAGGCGCTGGGAAGCATGAGGCATGCAGCATTCAAAATGTTTTTGAAAAAGACGGACTCGAACCTTTTACAAACACGCCATTGTACTCACTTCTTATTCAGAGACGGGCTGCGCGCTCCGAGCTGCACGGGCAGGCATTTTCCCCGGCTTTGTTTTACAAGGTGGGGAGAGCGGGGCTGGACGCGGGAGGGGGTGGGGGGAGCGTGAGAAGAAACGAAATCGCGGGAAGGAGGGGACACCGGCGGGCTGGGCAGAGGGCGAGGCCGAGGCCAAGTTGGGCTCCGGCGCCGCCGCCCCCGCGAGCGCCTGCGGCCGGGCCCGGGTCACCCCGAGAGCGCGGGCGACCCGGGTCCCGCGCCAGCCCGCAGCCGCCGCCGCCGCCGCTGCTGCCGCCGGGGAGCGCTCCGCCCCGGGCTCGGCGCTGGCCGGGCCCCGGCGTGGCTCGGGGGCGGTCAGTGCAGCCCGAGCGGCCCTGCACCCCGGCGTCTTTGTGCGCGAGCCTCGCTCAGCCCCTCTTCGCATGTCTTTGTGTGTCTCCCCCGGCCGAGCCCTCCGTGCCCCGCGCGAGCTCCGGCACGGGCTCGGCCGCGCTCTGCGGCTCTCCCTTCCAGGCTCGCTCCTCTCGCCGCTCCCCGCTTCCTTTCCCTCCTTTCGGAACTCCCTCCCCTTCGCCGCTTCCCCACTCGCTCTCTCGCCGCCTGGGCTCGCCCCGCCGCACCCCTCCTAGCCCAGCCCTCGTCTGCGTCGCCCCTGCCTGCTGCTCCCTTCCCAGTCCCCCCCTCCGCCCGCCTCCCCGCCCGGGGACGCAGCCCTCGGACTCACCTGCTGCCTCTTCTCTCGGCCCCTTCCACTAACCCTGCCCCCTCCCCAGATCCTCGCTCTCATTCCCCGGCACGCTGGGCTCCAACCCTCTCCTTCCCAGTCGGGGTGAGTGGTGTAGACCCAGCTCTGCGGCTGGGGTCCCCGAACCCCTGCGCGTAAGCATCTTCCCCTCCCGTTGGCCCCCCAGGGTTGTGCAGAGAAGTGCCCCTTTGGCGCCCGGAGACTCCTGCAGTAGGGGCGGCAGTGAGGGTGCCGGCTTCTCCCTCCTGTCTGCGCCGCGGTTATCAAGTCACCAGCAGCCCTCCCCCCTTCTCTGAGGGTGCTTGACCTGGGCAAGGGGCTCTGGGCAGAACGTTCCGAACGAGAAGGACGGGGAACGCACCGGGAGCCAGGGCGAATTCACCGAGAGATGCAGAGGGAATGGAAGAAAAATCGGTGAGGGTCTCAGAGCAAGATCCCTGTGCTGGGGACTGGGGTTGCAAATGTTCTCCGCAGAGCAGCGGGGTGGGACACCTCGGACTTCTCGGTCTGACTGGGCGCTCCCCCCACACCTCTCCTTCCAGATCCCAGCTTGGCAAGTACGGCCCCCGCCCAGACTCTTGGGCTGCCGCGCGGGGGGCCGCGGAACTGGCGGGGACGCGCGCGGGAACCGACCCTGCAGAGGTCGGGCAGGAGGCAGAGTTGAGGCTGCCGCGGTCGTAGGCGTGTCCTCTCCCCACACTCGGGAGGCAGCGGAACCCCTGTCCGTTTGTGAATTCGCTCTTCCTTTCCACTTTGGCAGCGGGAATCCCCAGCGGACCGCCACCCTCCCACCTCCACCGCCTTCCAGAAAGGCTGCTGGGCCAGGTTGGAATCTTTCCCTAGTTACAAGGAGAGCTTCCTAGGGAAAGCTGTCGACTGCAGACGTGAGAAACTCGTGAAGGCTACAAGCCACAAAGGAGGTCAGGTAGAGCAGAAAGACTCGTGATTGTAAAAAGAACGCGGCCACCCTTTCGCAAGACTGTGGTCATCGACGAGTTGAAATGTCAAATTATTTTGAAAATTCCGGAAGAGATTCAGCACCTCCTTCTCCTATTAAAAATGTCTTCCTTGTTAGGAATTCCTTCCTGCTGGAATGGAAATATGTTTTTCCTGACTTCTGCGCTCAGTAATAGTAGAATCGGATGTCCTTTCTAAAATGTGAATCTGACCCTCTCATTTCCCAGATGTAAAACCCTTTCAGACTCTCCAGGTCACATACAATGTGCTTTCTGGTCCCTTCTCTTTCACCCCAGGCCTGCCTGGGTGCTTTCACTTCCCCACACACCTTCCCCGACCTTGCCCCA